GTGTGTGTGTGTGAATGGAAGTGAGAAGGACTGAATAGGAAGTGAAGGGAATGAGTCAGAAACGTGGCAACGCCATGGAGGTGGCGATCATATGTTTGGAGTCGGCGGATATGCGGGATAAGGTTTTGAAGGGGGTTGGTGCTTTAGCAAAACTTGGCTTTTGTTTGATGCATGACAAATCGCTTCTTGACTTTGCCGATGCCACATCGGAAGTGCGGTCCCTCATGCGCATATTGGCTTGGCTTTCTAACATTCAGACCATCTATAGTTTGCTCAACAAGGAGCAGTGTGGCGTGCGCGACTTAATTTTTCTTGTGCGTGTGGTTGGTGAGGGTGTCTTCAAAGCGGCTGACAATGTGGCGTTCCTTGGGAGGAAAGTCCATGAGAACACACCATTTTTCCAGAGATTCAGTTATGCCTCCTGTTTGGGCCTCTTTTGGGCCCACCTTGCAGCCGTCGCGCTCGCTCTTTTTGACATTCGATATGATCGTCTGTTTAGCAGCCGCAGAAAACAATTTATTAACCTCTTTTTGTGCACGTGTGATCTCCTCACTGCGGCCGCTGGTGCTGCTGTTTTTGGATTCGAATTGAATTTCATTTGGTTTTCCCTGCTGACTCTGATAAGCTCCTTTCTTGGGTGTGTGGATGGTGTGCGGTCTGCCGCTATTGTTGCCAGACGGCGTGGTGCGAGCAGAAGTAGAGATTGAAATTGTTTCTGCTGGTACAGAGACTCTTTGCTTGTTTCTTTTTGATGTTATCATAGGCCTGCTCAATCGTTTTTTTCTTTTCTGCACTTGTTTTTCCCTTTCTGTATACTATTTCTTTTTCTCTTATTATTATTATTATTATTACGTGAGCAGTCTGGAGTTATTCCCCCCCCCCCCCCCCCCCTTTTTTTTTTTTTTTTTGCTTCTTTCTGCCTGCGTGTGTCCGCCTCCGTCGTGTTTGCCCGGCGGGGTGATGTCTGCGCGGAAACACTGTTTTTTTTGTTTTTTTTTCTCTGTCCCTCCCCCTGCAGCCTTGTTTTTAGTACTCAAACACAGTCAGGCAGGAGGAGGAGGGGGGGCGGATGTCAACGATTTGTCAGGCCGTCGACGGCTCTACTTTGCAGGAGAAGTGCCGCATAGACTTGCTGGACACTGTGGCGCAGCTGACACGTCACTGCGAGACACTGCCAAAGAAAGGCGTGACAGTAGCGGCGTCGAATCTTCCGTCGTGCACGTTTGCAAAAACCGTCTCGCACTCTGTGAAGAAACACCACAGCCAAGACGAGTCCGCGGTGCAGAAGTACATTGCCGAGAAGGAAGGGACACGGGAGCGCACACTGCAGGCCTCCTGCCAAACGTACTTTAAAAAGCACAACCCGAAGTTTGAAGGGGCGCTCCCTCGCACGGAGCCCTTTCGAAATACACGCAATCGCAATGAGTTGACAGGACGAGAGCGAGACTTTGTGCATCGCTACGCGGAAGCCGCGGCTAAAAAGTCTCTTGAGCGGAAGGTTAACGATGACGTGACGACGCAATGTGCAACGGAGGCATACCAAAAGGCGTTCCGCGCGTACACGGGACGGGATCCCAATAAAAAGGAACTCGAGGAAGTCGAAAGAATGTGGTTTGCCGTTTCGGAAGACGGTACAGTTGGCGTTATTCAAAAACCCCACTTTTACGGCCCTCATTCGCATGTGTCTATCTGCAATCGACGCCATGTACGTTGTCCCAACCAGGTTTACAATGCAGAGCTGCCACCTGTGCGTGGGGCGCGTACCCGTTTTCCCGGCCCCATTCCTGTATGGTCCTCGACACAGAACACACATACATTGGTTTCCGCTGACACGTACGTCCCGGGTCTACACAACGTCAGCAAATTTGGATCGGCATGATTGTAGAGGAATCTTTTTATTGTTCCCATATGTTTATTGCTTGTTTGTTCTTTTTTCTCCCTTGCCCTCTTTTTTTGGGGGGGACCCAAATGTACATTGCGAAATGGGGCTCTTCTAATTTTCTATGCCAATTTTGTTTGTTGCTGTTGTAGTTCTTGGAGAGAGCCCACGATGTTTTGCATGTCATCCAGTTGCTTGCTACCAGAGGGATTCTTTGTTGTCAAATTTCCTTTTTTTTTTTTTTTTCTCACGGCCACGTCGTCCAACTACGACAAATGAATACGGCGTCAAGGAAGGCGAGTGGGAGGTGTTGGCGCTTCAAGAATGGTGGAGAGGACGGCAGATCAGCGGATACGCACCACGGAGTGGGAAGACATCCAATACAGGCACGGCAACCGGGTCGGGAATTACGCCACCAATGAGCTTGAGATAATTGCGCAGAAAATTGCGGACGAAAACGTCAACGCATGTCTTAAAGTGTATGATCCCAACGAAGAACGTGTGCGGGATAAAATGGAGCGTGGCGGGTATGAAAAGGAGCTGCAACTGGGCGAGTCCAATACAGGCGGTGACACGGCAGACAATGTGATGGATGACGACGACGAAGACGAGGTCCTTTTGGCATTCCGCAGGAAACGCATGGCAGAGCTGCGGCAACAACAGGAGTCGCAACGGTTTGGTGTCCTCCGTCACATATCTGGTTCAGATTACATGTCTGAGGTGACGGAATCCTCTGCGGCAAATTGGGTCATTGCTCTGCTAGTGAAACCGGGGAATAGTGACAGTGAGAAGCTGCTTTCTGTCATGCGTGTGGTGGCGCAGCGTAACCGTGAGGTGAAGTTTCTCTCAATGATCTCAACAGAGGCAATAAAAAACTTTCCTGATCGGCACCTTCCCTGCGTTCTGTTTTACAAGGAGAAAAAACTGCAGCAACAACTGACGGAGCTGACGCCATGGAAGTCGAAGGATAAACAAATCTCTTTGAACTCTGTGGAGCGCGTCCTGCACCGCTACGGTGTGATCAGGAATGAGGAGTTTGAGGCAGAGGAAGAGGAAGATTGAATAATATCCGCATCAAACGTCACGAATTTCCCTTTTTTTTCTTTTTTTTCTGTCTGTGAGGTGTGGCGGCCATTCGGTTGCCCACATCACTGTGCTTGGTGTACTCGGTCTCCGTCGTCGCCCCTGTTGCTATGGCTGCCACAATGAATCCTATTGCTGTGACTTGCACTTCATTGCCCGGCTCTCTCTTTTTTTTTTTTTTTTTTTTTTTTTTTGCATTTGATTTTGCTTTTTATTTCCGCTTTCCAACATTCCTGTGTAGTAACCATGTCCGTTGATGGTCTCATCCTCTCGGACTTACGCCGAGTTCTATCAGAGGCGAGGCCCAGTCCTTTTTTTTTTCTTGTGTGTGGGCCATCAGGATCAGGCAAAACATTTGTTCTCCACGCCGTTCGCCAAGGTGCTGGCGCCTACGGGATGAGTGTTAGCCATGGCGTACCTTTAATGGATGATGGAATGGAACCTGAAAAGACAGAGTGGAACGATTCAAAGGCGCGAATTTTTTATGTGGATTACAACGCATTGCGCTCCAATGACAGTCGTGCCTCGTCGATATCCGAAAAGTACCCGGCAGGCACCGTTGTGCTGCTGGATGATATTGAAGCCGTTGACTATCTTCTTCGTTTAAACGCGTCCCTGCACCGCCTTGAGGACATGGTGTGTCGACTGCTCCGCTCGCCACGTTGTGCACTGGTGACTTCAGCAACTGACGTGCTCCATGTGCCTCGGTGGCTTTTGGCGATGTGGACTCCTTTCACGTACAAAATGCATGAGCTCACCTCGAGTGCCGCCCGTCGCCTCATTCGTTCCTTCCCTGATGCCGAGGATCTTTTGGCGTTTGTTTCGGGAGAAAACGGTGAAGAGTTGGTCTCATACTTGAGGACACGGAGGGCTCTTACGTTGATGTTATGCCATGCACTATGTGAGAAAAACAAGTCGTGGGTTCCCACTTCTCACACTGCACTGCACTTCCTTGGTCATGCCTCTATCGCACCACAATTGCCGTCGTCCTCTCGGGGAAAGCTCTTTGGGCTTGGTCCTGCGCTGGAGCGAGTTGAAACACTCGTGCGACTTTTTATGGAGCGGGAAAATCTTGCGGGTCGTAAATTGCTTGCCACCGTTGCACCCACCACCGGAATTCTCCTTCATGGACCTTCGGGCAGCGGCAAGACGGCAATAGCGAGCAGAGTTTCTGCATCCTACCCTGGCAAATGTTTCTTAGTTAGCTGTGCCGCTCTGTTCTCCAAGTACCTTGGCGAAAGTGAAGAACGTCTGCGGGAAGCGTTTCGAAAGGCACGTTTGTGTGCGCCATCTGTGCTGGTGCTTGACGACGTCGATGTTATTGGAACTTCACGCGGTGCCTTTTTGAATGGTGGCACGGGCGATGGCCTTAACGTGACAAAACGGATGTTAGCGGCGCTTCTCTGTGAATTAGATGGCCTTATTGATAATAAACGTGTCCTTGTGATTGCCACAACCAATGTTCCTGGGACGCTTGACGTCGCCCTCTTGCGACAGGGACGTTTTGAGACGGTTGTTTACGTGCCACCGCTTAGTTTTGAGGCTGCAGAGGAAATGGCACTGGAGTTCTTTGGTGCCTTTGACGGCGCGGCGATGAAAGCGCGGGAAGAGTTGAGCCGGCTTGTGGCAGGCCGCGCGGAGGGGTGCGCTGCAGCCTCGTTGAAGGCGTTTCTTCGAGAGGTGTTTGAGCAGCAGCAACAACATCAGGAGATGGAGGTCAACAAAACGACGAGAGTGGAGGCTGGCGAGAGGGAAACGGCTCTCTTTTTGCCCAGCGAGGCGCTGGTACGTGCCACGCTTGCGAAAACTACTGTGCTGCAGCGTGTAAATTACGAATATAGTTTTCTTTAATAAACGGAGCCTTATTTGATTGCTTTTTGGTGCTTTTGGGCCCTTTGTGTGCTTCTATTTGAGCGTTGCTCTTGCTGCTCTCTCACAAACAAAAACACAGACGTATTACCCTTTTTTCTTCTCTTTTTTGTCTTTCTCCTCTGTGTGTGTGTGTGTGTGTGTCTGCCAGTGGTTAGTGGCTTGGTTCATGGAATATAAGTCAACTTTTGAGCTTCGACAGCAGGTTTTGGACCTCCCAACTCACTTGACCTCAAGGGCGAGGACGGGGAAAAAGAATAGCAGCTCCAACCCCCCATGTTTGCCGCATCCTTTAAATGCGAACAACAACGGAGCAGTAATGGATTCTGATCCGGATGACCCCACTGCCCTTGTCCGTGAGCTGCCGGCGCTGGACAAACTTAACGCTCTCAGTGCGTCGTTGAAAAATGAGGAAGAGGTCCAGAACTACGTGGAGGCAAGAAATCTTTCTCTGGAGGATACTGCAAAATACATCATGGCAAACGGAAGTACTGGTCAGAAAATGTCGTTGTTCCAGCGTCTGAAAGAAACGCTGGTGGGTTTAGACATGTCTAGCATCTCGCAGGTATTGATGATTGCCGTGGACAGCATGTGGGTGCAGGAACCAGAATTACAGTGCTTCGCCCCGGGTGCCTTAATTGAGGTGTTGCCGTTGCTGAACAATACCGTGACACGAGATCTGTTGATGGTGACAAGTACAATGTTAAGCGTCAAAACGGCGGAGGTCCGCATAGCATGGAATAAATTATTTTCGGCCTTTATTGATTATCTGAATAACAAACAGCTTGACAACGATGTGGTGCCCCTTGCTCTTAAAAAAACCGAACATGTTGAGCCACAGGATCAGCGCGAGCTTAGTTGTGATCTCATTGGTGCTGTCTGCCGCTATCTCCCTCATGATATTGTAGAGCGAAAACTTATGAACAAAGTGCTGGCGTTATGTCAGGACACTAACGTGGGAGTGCGGCAACACATGTGTCAACAACTAGGCATTG